TTGTGATTTTTTTTTTTTTTTTACAATTTAAGATTTTCCTATTTTATTATATTTTAAAATGTCACATGATCCTTCACAAATTCAAATATGCTGGTTTAGTGATCAGGAAATATTAAAAAGATCTTTTAAAGAATTAATTTCTTTTAAAATAAAATCTCACTTGCGCCAAACTTTATATACTCTATGAATATACAGTTAAACATTTCAGTAAAAATAAATAAACGCATAATATTAATATAAAAACAAATACTTTGTGGAAGAAATGAATGGGATTTTTAGCTGTAGAACCCTGTTGTTTTACACTACAGCAAATACAGCTAAATCAAAGGTGCTTACCAGATAAAGTGAACCCAGATTGGTGCAGATTTCTAGCTGGTCCCCCTGGGGTCTTTCCTGGACATGAGGGCCCTCTAGTGGTGGGAGTGGCTGGCACAGATTTGGTCATACTGATGACATCATGAACGGGGCCATCATAGTTTCCTCTAGGAACACCACGAGCATCAGCCATCTGCAAAATAAAAAAGATTTGATTATGAAAGTGACCCCTGATAACACAAAAGTTGAGTTTTTTACACTTGAAAAGTCTGTGAGGGAGTTCATCTGTTATTTGACCGCTGGGATGAGTGAGTCAGCATTCATAATCACACAGAGACTCTCTTACCCTGCCTCGGGCCTTGATTCTCTTGAAGACAAAGTCTGGATAGGCTTTTCTGGGGATGAAGCGGCCTGACCCCTCTGTCACATTGAGTTTCCCGTCCTCCAGAACGATCCTGCCCTGACTGATGACCACCACAGGGAAACCTCGGCACTCCATTCCCTCAAAGATATTCACCTCCACGGTCTGCGGCGACACACGGGTCAGACTCAGAATAAAGACATCTCACTTTGACAAAATTCCAATGGAATATTACAAGGATTTAGACAGAATTGTACTGTAGTTTCCACTCTAAACCAATAGTTGAATCAGTACAATTATGTGGGATAAATAAAAATAACATCGTTAATGGCTAATCTTTTCTTCCCTGTTGAAAGATGAAATTCTCATACCAGGTTGTGAGATTTGGCAGAGAAGATTTTCGTCTCCTTTGTGTTCCAGATAACAATGTCAGCATCAGATCCAACAGCGATTCGGCCTTTCCGAGGATACAGGTTGAAGATTTTCGCAGCGTTTGTACTCGTTACTGCAACAAAATCATTCTCGTCCATTTTACCTGTTGCCTACGTGACAAAAAAACATAATTGGAGACTGCTAATGAGACAATGAACTGTCACGTATGAATGGAAGTTGCAAGCATATGCATAAAAGTTGTTTTTTTAATGGTTCGTGTTTGAACTCTAATCTGCAATTTCATGACATAATGGCTAATAGAGGATCAAAATGTCGCAAGGAATACAATGCAGTGTTGAAGTATATAGTATTTTTTTTAAACATCTTTCACAAAGACTGTATTGTGAGACTGACCACAGCTTTGTCCCAGACGATGCTCATACGCTCCTCGATGCCGTTGGTCCCCTCTGGGATGAGGGTGAAGTTGTCCTTTCCAACAGCTTTCTGTGCCGTGGTGAAGGTGCAGTGAGCGCTGGCTGTCAGCTGAAGATCCCCACTGAAACAGTTCATGACGGTCAGTAAGTATAATGCTTTCTGAAGACTAAAGGCCTGATTTTCTACACAGAGCATAATGGACTGCTTTGTGCATAGTTTACGGAGAATGAACAACTTAAAGTACAAAGATGCAGTAAGATCATTTCTATAATGACAAATGCAGTCTAACAAGAGCTGCGCAAATTAGCGCAAGGTTGCAAACAAGCAGAGCGGATGATAATTAGGTGCGAGTAATCTACTAACAACACAGGCACAGAACAGGACATGCTTTTTGGGGGGTGTTAAATAATGGCACAAATACCAGCAAACTGATGACTGCAAACCTTAGTAAATCACCTTGCATGATTCATTAAGTACTTTCCTCCCATAAATTTAGCATCTGAAATGGAAACTCCTACAAATGCATATGCAATAAGGTCAGCCGCAAAAATAACTGTCCACTGTCTTTAGTAAATCCTCATGGTAGTTTTTTAATGCCAAAAAAGGGTTCCCTTTCATGGGAACTTCGAACTGCGTCCTGTAGGGGGCGCTATGGGGAACGCCTCGTCGTGACCCGTGTCTGAAGCATACATTGAAAAAACACCAACTCGTTGGCCGGCGACAGCCATGACGTCACTACCGGTGCGACTAAAGTATAAATAGGCGCCGGGAGCATCACATCATTCTCTTCTTCGTCTTCATTGACTGTTTTGTTTGAAGCGTGCATTTCCAAGGAAAAAGTAAGAGCTATCTCTATTTATTATGGCGAGCACTAGCAGAGCATTTAGAAGGTGTGTGCATCCGTGTCATCGCTATTTGACATCAGATGACACACACGATCTATGTGTTGTTTGTTTGGGCAAAGAGCACGCACGCGATGCCTCCGAGGGGGCAATCGGCGTGCACTGCGAGCGTTTTTTCCAAGGGGAAAAAGCTCCGCTCTCGTTTGTCTCTTTTTTCGAGGAAAGAGGGGCAGCCATCTGCTTCCCGCAA